GGCGCTAGTCGGGCGCCATTGAAAACTGTTGTTTTTTAATTAGAGCTCTTGTTTAGTTCGAGGAATATTTTTGTTAGGTTAGGTTTTTTTTTTTTACACATACGATTACGGTACTTCTGCGTACTTGCTGTACTAGCGTCAAAAACAGATTTCGCTCAGTAATTGGTTACGGGCTGCATTTCTGCTTGATAATTAGCTACGACTAGTAACATTAACGGGTCGTATCTTTTTCGCAATTCAATTGATCTTAGATTGTTTGTATACTGTACCCTGTAGCCTGTAGCAGTTGTTTTGAACTCAGCTTGATTTGTTGGACCCCACTAACTGTAGTTCTCGACCGTTTCCACGAATGAAAAAATAGTTTTATTTTTTATGACGCGATTGCCACTATTGTCATCAACGATTTTCTCGTTCGCGCTGCTTTACCCAATGCTAACACCTGTTTTATTTGAAAAAAAAAAAAAAGATGATTACATACTGTTTGCTTTTTACTGCATCATTAAACGCCTGCTTAGGCGAGTTACGTGATACAGCAGAGAGTTAATTATAAATCAGTACTGTCTGAAGGCACACGTTCTTTACCCGCGCCATTTTCTCGATGAAGAAAACAAATGAAGCCGAGAACGAGGCAGTGTAGCATGTGGTGATAATGTAATTTTGGCACCAAACGCAAATGTTTATATCATAGCCGCATCATCCGAAATGAAAAACATTTCAGCGATTTTTAAACATGTTCTATTTAATGTTTATTCCCTATTGGCTAGTGATTTCTTTTGGAATCAGAGGGGTGACGGAGATTACGATAAGTGCAAACTTCCTGTATGTTGCTTTCAATCAGTTTTAACATTGCCAACGTATGAATGAAATCCACTCATTTGTTATGTTGGTGTCATCTAGTGTCGTGGCCATGATGACTATGATATGATTTGTATTTGTATCTACAAGCCCTCGATCGTGATGACTCGAATGTTGAAACGTAAGCTTTTCTAGGGGGTCATCTGCCACTGCAGTCACCAGCGCCCACCATCGAACAAACGAATCGAGGATTAAATGAGCCTTAATAAAACCGAAGCCGACTTTGTCGCCTCGCATGATTAAGCAGCATCTTCTTACTCACGATAAGGCCCCTGCTTATAGGACTAGTGGGTCGCTTGCATTAAGGCGGAAGTGGTCGATAAGGGGACCAGTTATGATAGAAAAGGCATATTGAGGGCAGAAGAATCGCGATGGATCGTTAGAGAAGCTAGATTAGCATCTGCCTACCTTCGAGCCAAGTAGGAGCTAACGGTAACTTCAAGCTAGTTGTCTACTTGAGTGTAGGCGCTGCTTGCCGCTCATGAATACTAGCTAAATCGTGAGTCCTTTCGATCGGAAATTGTGGGCTGGCGGTGGTTTTGAAGTAGATACACGAATCGGTATTGGACCACATAGGATTTGTAGTGATAGCATTGTTTCACAGCGTCGCCATAGTCCATCTATTGTTACCTGAATTCCCCGTGCTATGAATGGCAGATTAGCTTCAACTGAACTTCATCAAAAAATACCTAATATCTCGTTTTAGACTCGAAGATTGAATAGACTGTAAATAGGGGGAACACAGCAGGTGTCTCAAATATATAAAGTCAGCTACCTGCAGTAAGGAATGATGATACGATAAATAAGTCTGATTAGCGAATGTAGATCATACTCTGAATGGTTTAGGGCTTGAAAAAGCTGCTAGATTAGAAGAATTTCGACCCTATCGATGTCGTCCTGCTTTCAAATGACCATTCCAGCGCGGTCCGACAACTCCAGGGCAGGACGATAGGTTGTATGCCAATGAATCGATGTACCGTTCATTGCCGCAAATAGCATGTAACGATACGTGGTAGGTCAATTTTTGGAACCCCATTGACAGTACTGAGTTGGTCACTTCTTTTATTTCACACAAAATGCGTAGTGTTTGTTATATCGTGGACAAATCCTATGGCGGGCCTGATCTTGACCTATATTCGGTGAGTGGAAATCTAATCTTGAGTGGCAGTGTTCTTTTTTCGGTATTAAACTTCCACACTCGGCGCTGTTTGATGGCTCTATCGGTATTGATTTAGGTTAATTGAGTTCATCTGGTAACTTACATGTCCTTAACCCCAAATGACCTATCGCGCTAAATTATGTTTCTAACCAGTCAAGTTTCTCTTAGCTTTGACTAGGTAGTCCTTTCATCACCGTTAGCCCAATACGAGGCGGATGGCACTAAATATATTGGGCCCCACCCGACTTGTACGTATAACGAACTAGCTAAATGCGTACGTGTAAATTTAGAATTCACCGTATCGTATAGATGTGACTATCCTTTGACGTTGCTTTCCTAAAAATACATTGATATCTATAATATCGGCTACTCTTAAGGATCCCTTGAATCCAACTTATTTTTTTGGGGGGCTGGCGTATAAGGCTGGCCGTTCGGTAAATAGTTTGTGCTATATAATAGAGTCAAATTAAGTTATCTAGCAGTGGGAAATAACAATCGATTGGCAAAGTATTGACTGAAGCGATGAATGCCCATGATCAAGGTCTGCTCAGGTAAAGGAACACGTGTGCGAAGTAGACCGAAATCTTTGAAAAACGATGAGACTTTTTTCCTGCATTTTGTCTCTAACGCATAGTAGTAGATAACACATAATTAGCAAAAATGCTTGTCCTTTCTAAAAAAACCTTCATTGATAGGCTATTAGTAAAAATCTTGTTCAAATGAGTTACATGCTCGGCATCTATCGTACAAAACAGTAACAGAAGTGACTCAAATAACTAAGCGATATCGAACATTTGTATGTTATTAAATACAGCCGTAAACTATAGACACATCTAGATAATTAGCGGTCTAAACGTGCTGATGTACTCTATCGACTGAGCCAAGATATGCGAAAAAAACTTGTAGACAAACATGTCTATTGAGCAGATTTTTTCTTAGAAACGTTTTTCTTAGAAACAGAACATACCATGATAAATAAGTCTTCTTAATTCGGTTAATTTCTAAATATTTTTCTTTTCTGCAAACAATTCGCAAGTATAATAATAATTTACTGGAACTGAAGTTGCATATAAATACAGTCGAAAAACGTTAAAAAAACACGAGTCCGACAAAAATGGTCACTTTCGGTTCACATTTTCTGTACCAGTTCCTGATAATAGGCCACGTGCTTTTGGTATTGCGACCCATTACTGTAAATATCGGCCTAAAATCGACCTATTCAACATTGATATGTACGTGCTTCGTCCTATCACGTTTGTTTGTGTACAGTAATGCCCCCATCTGCCGATGGCGCAACTAGACCAGCTATTCATTTTTGCAGGCTCCGACTGCAATTCTCGTCCACCGCATTGTGCGCTCGGTTGCAGGAAACACAGTAAACACCTACAAGAATACTTATATTTTCCCTGTTCCGGACTACAGAAGGCTTCGGTCAGCTGAGGTTTGAAGACTGGAGACAGCGGCTGAGTCTGCGAACATATTTTAATCCACCCATTAAACAAGTAGTTCACCTCATAAAGTTCATGAGGTGCGGTCAGTCGTGAAGTCCAAAAAACGCACACCGCGCCTTGACACGAAGCGCTTCACTGTAAGAAATGACCCCGGCCAGTAGCTAACTCCGCTTAAACCTCAAAACATAGAAGTGCGAAGCGGCATCCGAGTTAGGTCGAATTTAAGCTCCCCCGTCCATTTAGCTATAGTACCGCACAGAATCAGCTCATTGACCAGTCCAGCCAAGTACCACGAGTGACCTACAGCCGCCTACCGTCGATATATAACCCCAACAGCACACTTGTTTGCCTCGAAACGCTGTTATATATATATATATATATATATATATATATATAGATGTTAAAATTTATTAGCTCGCAATCGGTGTCCGCCGTACTTCGTTGACGAAAGGCTCTACTAACACCTACCGCTAAGCTCTAAACGAAGCCATTTTTGAGGCTGAACTATAATGGCTGATTTGCGCTAGGTAAATTCGCGTCTGAAGTCGGGATGGAGAAGTCTAAAGTCGAAGATTGGGGAATGAGAATGGAGGTGCTGATCTGAAGGTTGGCTGGCTCGTAAACTGTACCTTGGTCCAACACCCAGAACACACATTGTGGTCACATGTTTCCTGCATTCGAGATATAGCAACGGAACAGGTTTGGTGAGCCGTGTGAACACATATAAAGGTATACACAGGGGGTGTGCGAAATTTCTCAGCGAGAGAAAAAATTTATTTTTTGTGATCAGGTCCTAGCCAAATATTGTGCGGCAACTTTTCGGCCATCAGAGCGACCTTTTTCCGAGTTCTGCGCTTTCAAATATGCCTGAACAGCATAACGGCATCGTTCGTTTGGAATAACCTATTTGGGGAAGTGAAAATACGTGATTTAAAGCGTAGCTACGATACGTTGAAGCCTAGGAGAATAGGTTAATAGGTCGAAAGAAGTAAACTCTCACTTCCTTTCACAACACAGTATGTAAAATGGCATTTGACGAATGGTAATATCTGTGAATGGGGCTTGAGTTTGATTCAGTTGCCTATAATATTTCCATATTTTCCTACGGTATTGTCTAAAATTGAATCCTCTATATATATATATATATACACCATTTAGTGGCATTTTTCAATGGTATTTAGATTCGACCGAATGGCAGGGATACGATCATGATAATTATAGCTAGCTAACGTATTCTACAAATATATGTTTGCAGTGCACCTGGAGAAAATCATTACTGGCCACTTCAGTATATATTTGTTTTTTCTCACTTTATTCATATATTTATCGAAGTTCTGATACAAAAAGAAGTTATTTATATTTTCAGTCGGCATACGATTGTTATTTTGTTTAAAGCAGGAACAGCGAGTTTCAACTTTTTGCAGTTCTATCCCCTCTTTGCGTCTGTGTTTAATAAGTATAGTTGAGGGGTTCAGTGATCTAATAAGTGATAGGTACCGCAAGTGACGAATAACACACAAAAACCTGTTTCTTAGGCCAAGCCGGTATTAATCAGCTCGGAGGGGTATTCATCAACGGTCGCCCACTTCCTGACTATATAAGACGAAGAATTGTGGAGCTAGCTCTTATGGGGGTACGTACCTCTATACATAGATGTAAACTAGCAGTAATATAAGTTGCTGCCTTATATGTAGTGTTTACTGAACCAGGGGTGTTGTTACATTGTGCTGTGTATAGCGAAAAATGCATGTGTGATTTTTAAATATGTAAATTTTTGCCTGCCGCACTTTAAAAGCAACATTAATCAAGAAATTGCATTTCCAGAGCTATGCAATCTGTAGCGCTAACTCTAAGTTCTGATTACAGGTGCGACCATGTGATATCTCGAGGCAGCTGCTCGTATCACACGGTTGCGTATCGAAGATCTTAACACGTTTCTACGAAACCGGCTCTATTAAGCCTGGGTCTACTGGAAGCCCAAAAGGAAAGGTGGCTATCTAACTGAACGACAGCGATACATCTATAATGCACTATTGTTAAATCAAAATGAAACAATTCGACCAAGCTCGCTTAACCGCTGAATTCGGTGTTTTTCTTTGCGCTAAAGGGGCGAAAGTCAACTATTTTATTGAACAAAAGAATAACTGCCTATCGAAGATACATACGTTGCTAACAAACGTTCGTTACTTGAAGCTTGAGACTAACCAATCGAATTTTATTCAGGCACTTGTTTATTTTATTAGGTAATACTAAAGGCGAGCATATAGTTATGGCTGGTTATATACTATTAGTTAAGCGTTTGGTGTAATAGAAAGGGGCTGGTATTCGCAGCGCGCGAATGTGTCTTCGGACCTCTAACCAAAATACGGATCTAGTCGTCCGAAAACCTTTACATGTATTTATTAACACGATCAGAGAGCTAAGGTGCGTTTCGGAAACATCTTTTAAACTAAGAGCTCAGTAATCATAGCTCATTCTTATTCGATGCTCAAGACATACAGAAGAACTGCGTCTATGTTTAAGCGAGAGCCGGTTGCGATATGGCTATGATGATCAATTGTACTTTCTGTACGTTATATCTCTATTTTTTAGGAATATTATTTAACCTTGCTAGCGTTCTTCCGTACCAAGTAAACGGCCATTCTATTGAATGCATTTTGCCATTGAAATGAAAAGTTTCTACACACGTATGGAACTGCTAGGCACCATGGTGACGCACGAGTCATATTCTATGCTTGTAGTTTCACTATTTATGAGAAAATAAAAATCACTTATATAGGGGAAAAAGACACTTATATAGACCACCTTGTTGTTTCTAGCAACGAAACGCTCATTTTAGATGCGAGAGATCTCAGGGTCTCCCAGTCTGTTAGATGCATACGGGCCAAAAACTGGATAGAATTCATCCTTCCTGGGATTTTCCTTTGTCCAAAGTCCAAAAGCTGAGCTACCGTTTGTTTTTTTTTTCGCATTTCATTAAACTTTTGTTAAAGGAAAAAAACATGTAAAATAACCGCTTTGTGTTTGTACAACAGTTTCGACTGCTTCGAAGCTGCATTTTCAAAAGCTGACTAAATGCAAATTGCATTTTGTGAAGAAAAAACGTTACATTCAGTTATATTACATGACCCCGACGAGTATATGACCCGAATATACGCGGGCGGCGACGCTATTAAGCTAAATGTTCGCATCCACCTCCTGTAACAAGTTAAAGTTTTACTCATATCTTATTCAGTTCCATTTCTGGTTCACAGCCAATAGATTTAACCTTATATTTACACTCAAACTTCTTTACTGATACGTTCACGTAAAATCCACACCGTCTCGTCTTGTTGATATCTGACTTGCCCTGGCTTCTAGTTTCGACTCTTCTCGTTATGTTTGTAAGTTGCTAAACACAAACAAACAAATAATGAAGATAAAACAGCTATATTTTTTTATTCTGCTCAGCGACTTAAAGCAACCTAGAGAAGTTTATGCATTGTTTCATACATATTGACTTTGAACTTTACAGATATTAGGACGCGGACAACGGAGACAATATAACTTGAAACGGATCCAGCAGAGCGCTGTTGTTGAACGACAGGATCAATCGTTCGCGGGACTTGACCTTAGAAATTCTGTATCATCACCACAAAGCGCAGGTAAAATGCTTTCTTTTCTCAATAACGGATCAGATTAATCGATAAAGTTTCGCAAGGGACCTATCGTGTATTCATAGCTATACACATATATAATTACCACAATCGGTTTCTATACACCAAGGTGTTGCCTTCGAAAACCCCACCAACCTCGTTAATCAGCGTGTTCGCATTGCATTGAGTATCGCACATGTTTTTCTAAAAAGCAACCGTTGAAAAGTAGACCTACTGTATCCTATATAATAACAATAACAGTAATTAGTTATTAGAGTCAAAGGAAAAGCGGATAGAACAAGTATAAGTGGAGAATGCTACTGGAGTTTAGGTTGCGTTTATGGTTGCTACTTTTGCAGTTATAGCAGCTTAGACGCTTGCTAACCTGAGTGTTCTGACGGATAAGGACGTTGCTCCTAATCCCCTGGATCTTGCTGTTTTGTCAAGCCAGTTTTATTTCTTCCTTGATCCACTTGATTTCCCAGGAAACGCTTGACTTGACAGTCATTTACACCTATGGTAGCAGGGGCCGTACGGTCCATGACTGACGATGGTACGCCATTCGTCGCCTGCGTTGTCGGACTGGGCAGGGCCGTTTGTGCCACCGATTACCACAATTAGGGAACTGTGTCAACGGCACCATTTTCTCGCTTCCCCATCACTAACTGATGTCCCAGAAAAGAAGAGTGCTGTTACTGGCACAATGCCGGTCAGTCTGGCAGCGAATCTGGCCAAAGCTGCCGGTAGGCGTAGTGCTCCCTATTCCAGCGTTCAGTGTAAAGTCAACTTTGGCGGTAAGCTCTCACTTGGGGAGTGTATCTCTCGGGTCTCCCGTCCTTTGGCCGCGCCGTCAGAGGGGTCGAGTGCGCCGCGAAGGATGGGGCGGAGCCGAAGAACCGCGGCAGCGCATTATGACGACAGCAGGATACGAGGGAGATGGCTGGGGTTCCGGGTAAGCGCTCTGTACGACGTCGCTGGCGACGAAACTGCTTTAAAGAAGGAAAACTGCGTTAGTAGAGGCATGTGAGAAAGTTGTAACTATGAACTGTACTGCTGCCTCGAAAACGTATGGTTAGCTTGTGTAGCGATAGAACTTGAAATACAGCATTTTCGGGCCGGCTAGCGCCGGGCCACTATAAACAGTTCCCTAATTCTCATTGAGTCACTAAAGCTTACTGAGATATTGAATATGCTTTGATTTCGAGTTATAGTGGTTTAATTGTTTACTATATAATTTTTTTTTACTGGAAAAAGACACAAGTAAATTCAGATGTATTAAAGCAGGTTGCTAATATCTTTTCTGTGTACTCTTCCTACTTCGTTAAACACAACATTCCCAATACAAGCATCCATTTGAAAAAAAGTCTTTCAGTCTGTATAGACAGGATTAAGTGGTCGACCATATTTCGTCAAGCTTAAACAAGGTTACATCTCATCGTAACGGCTGTCCTTTCTCTGGAGTTCGCACAATGCTGTGACGCCTGAACACCCCTCAAATGTAAAGGCTCTAGTTGGCGTTGTGTGTAAATGTCCAGCAGGCTCACCTATCAAGCTAATCTCAGCTCTTCAGCTCAGGCTTGTCGCCCGACCTGCTGGACGCACTGAGGTGTAGCTATCAGAGTTAGCCAGGTCGCGATGATCTCAATGAACTCGGTATCCGCGGCAACGCGGTATCCGTACCACACGCTTACATCACCAGAGGCGGGACGCTTTGCACGTGCCGCCACTTCTGATAGAATGTGTGGACGACCCTCAGAACTTCATATTCTTCGTTGATCGTCGGAGATCTGTCTACCCCCTCGCTACAATTGAGCTGTTCAAGCGATTTGCTTCAAGTGTATTCCCTTGAGACATTCGTTCGACAGAATGTGGCGTCTTCATGTAATACTGTTATTAAATATATAAATATTATATGATACGTAATTTATATATATATATATATATATATATAACATGTATCTTATGCATAGTCGTCTATGTCATTTTTAGATGATTTGTGCCTCAAAAATTATTTGACACTTAACCATTTGATCAAGACGTTTTGTCGTATAGATGTGGCTGCAAGTATTATTCCCACTATTTTTATTGCCGCCTTCTTTGAATCTCACGATCGCTTTAATAAAGCGACTTCCGGTCTGGTAATCAGCTGGAGTGACTGTGCGTTATTCAACAATTTGTTCGTAAAATGTAGTAGTTGATACAAAATGCCTTACGTCTAGAAAAAGGGGTATACGCTTACGGGAACGACTAAAAGCCATTAAGATCCCCTAGCGGAAAAATTCACATGCATTTCTATTGTAGGATAGGTGATAGCTGAAAAAGCTGACCTAATCGAAGCTTTACCAACGCATTTTATTGAATTATAAATGATTTGTTTGTTTCCCAGCTGGAAGTCGAACACGCTTTTGATTTACAGAAATACAAACACAGCAGGCTCTCAATGGCCTGTTTTGAAAAGTCTTGTTTCTCAATTAACTCTATGGCGTTGGCAATTAGAGATTTTTTTTGTCTTGCCTGTTTAAAACTCGTCGTTTCCATGGCGCTGTTCATCGTTTATTGCAGCGTCTTTACTCACTACCAAACGACGCACTTAATGTTCATTTGCTGACACATACGGCTGTTTTTCCACAAGAATGGGTCGCTGATTGGCTTATCATATTGCTTGGATGCCCGCTTTATCCCTCAATCGCTTCTATTTCAGTGGCATGTTCTGTTGACTTTGGCACCCTCGTCCGAGATTGTTGATTCTTCTGCTAGTCAGTCAGTCAGTCAGTCAGTCCGCTGCGTTGATTGGCTATCATTGACCCAGCTTGACACAGTCCTCCTGGCAAGTCTCTTGAGAATCGCTACTTCGTTAGCCTTTTCTACCGTTTAGGACTTTGTCATTTCCTTTGGCATTTGCGTGTAAGCGGCCAAGTGAAAACGAAGGCGGGGCAAGTGAGGGGGTATTTGGGACACGTGTTGAAGGCGCAAGGCGGCAATTTTACGAGTGAGTGAGTGAGTGAGTGAGTGAGTGAGTGAGCGAGCGAGCGAGCGAGCGAGCCGGCTTTAGTGGGAACGCTATACCTTGCTCTATCTTGGTTATATAGATTATGTCACCATGAGAACAAGTGAAATCTTTTACTCTGAGGGGCTTCTATCTTATTCCCGCTTTCCCAGTAAAGCTTAATCTTACTTTTAAATTTCTACGGAAATAGAATCGTACTAAATATATAATAGTTGCCGATTTGCTGAATTGTTTTATGACTGATTAAACCGTTTCCTAAATCTGTGCTGTGAATTATGTAATTGAGCCTATAGCAATGGTGTGCATTTACATGTGGTAGATTAAAATGTCTGTTTTACATATCTGAAATAAATTCGTATCGGTCCTTCTTCGTTGCGCCATGGAAAGTACGGCTTCTGCATGAATATTCGAGTCGATAGGGTTCAACCTTACAATAACGGACTTCAATAAATATTCAAACAGGGTCACGCAGGCTGTAAAATTTCGCAAAAGGCTAAAGGTTATATAAGCCTATGTTGGCAGAAAATATTTTTTCTCATAATCTAATTTGATGGAGAGCTTTCGCAGACGAAGAGTGAGGTTTAAAGTTAAATGGTTACAATTTCCGTACATGAAAACTTTTGCCCGTAATAACAACTTGTAGCATAATAAAGTTTGGTTCATAAGAGCAACAGCACCTGCTTTAATGGAGCGTACATCGCCTCTGTCTGCCTTTTAGCTCTATTAGCTATCCCGTTAACTATTTATATACTTGACTGTATGCGTTTGTAGCAAATAATCAGCGAGACAGAGAAAATGAAATTATGTCAATGTTATTTCACGTTCCGGTGGTCGCTTGACGAGCTCCTCAAAACAGTAATACCTGCTTCTCAATCCTACTGGGAACTTTGGTAAATCTTTAACTTTCATGTTGCTAGTAGGCGCGATATGAAACACCCAATTGTGAATTTGCCGCACGATAGCTCGGTCATATTCTCTTCTTTACTGCTCACCGGATGAAGACGATTTAGCAATCTCTGAGCATGAAAGGTCTGCTGTGCCTGGGATTAGTGGATCGTGATGGCGCCGCCTTATCATGACCTACCGTTTCCTTAGCAGGTCACCAGTAGGGTCGTGTTGTGTATTCCATCACTCTGTTAGATCCTCCTCACCTGGAGGTTAAAGACAAGTTGATCTCAGTTATTAACGTCTCCATTCGAGAATAAGCAAAGTTGTTTTTGCCATTGTTGTATAGAACATGCGTCTCATAGTGAGAATGCGCTTTCGTTCCCTAGACCACGAGGAAAAATGGGGAAGTAAACATCAAGCGGAGGCGCAGTTGCTTTTGATGAAGCTATCACGAGAAATTTTGCTTCATGTCTATTCAGAAATAGTTGGGGCACTACCCTGGTACAAGGTAATTTTTGCTCATTACGAGGATAACTCAGGAGCCCTGCTGTTGTTACTCTCATTGTCGTTACTAAGACCATCATTATCTAAACAAAAGTCCAGTGTTCTACATTAAATTATTTCACGTCAGTTTACTGGGCCTGTTATACGCCGCGAATAAACGTCATTCACCTGTTGTTGGACATGCGCCATCCCTCTCGGCTCTCTCACAGGTTAAACATCACGTCAAACATATCTTTACTTCTAACTAATTCAGTCAGCTGCCATATCCCTGCTGCCTTAGCCGACATCTTGCCAAGAAATCTATGTCGCACGCCATACGTACACTGAACGCCGCGTAGCTTCTTCGAAATCAAAGGACATACGCCAAGGTCTGTATGACAGCTCGATGTGTGTATATTCAGGCCTTTGTTCGCTAAAAACATCAAATGTCTGGAAGATGTTGCCTTTTAAAGGACATTTGGATCCTACGTGTGTGGCATGTTCAGCTGAAACGGGAATCGATGAGAATCGTACACCGGATGTATGTTACTCAGTTGACCCTAATTTCGGTCCTCGAAAACATACGAGCACTGTTTCTCGAGGCCCTACCCGCATTAGCCCACATTTGTAAGCTTTCAGCAAAAAGTCGGTGAGCATTTTGTTCACCTGAAATTAATGTATACACTTTAATGTTATCTGCTTTAGAGGCCTAAGTACAATGTGGTTCTCTCCTTTTATAGATAACGTTAAGAAAAGACTTCTCGAAACTGCAGTTTGTAGGCGATTTGAAGATAGATAGGTTTTCTGGTCTTATGATGTTTGAAAGTTCGAAAACAGAAGTGGGCACGTCGAATTGTACGGTGGGTAGGGCGAAGGCATCTGTGCCTTCGATAGCGATGTTACGATAGCACCGGACAGTTGGATCTTCACCTGATGGAAACACAAAAACGGACTGTAATCAAACGATTCTCTCTGTATCCAGTTAGCTCCATTTTGAGTTCAGCTTAGCTGATTAAAGGTGCAGCGAACATTTATATTATGGCCCGAATTATGCCGATCGGTTCAGACGCCAGAATATCGAAATTTAACAGAAACGGACGTTACAGGCACTACGTGCCAGTATGCTAAGACTTTGTAATGGTACCTGGGCTCCACAGCTGGATACTGCCATAATGTACCATACTAGGAATATATTTGACTTTAAGCTGGGCGTAATTAAATAAAAGATGGAAAATTGTCCATAAAACTTTTTAATTACACAGGTATTTTCCATATCCGTATGCGAACGAATGGCGAAGCATAGCTATGATAGCTGTGCTTAAAAACATCAGAAAATATCGAACTAATTCCCTTACGGGTACTAACATTTCATTACAGAAGCTTCTTCTCTTCCGCTGTCGAGCCGAAATGGTCCGTTCGTGAGTCCTTTCTTCTTAATGCGCGGAGCAGCTTTAGGAGGACCACCGACTTCTGGCCCATTAGGTCCTTCACTAGCTGCGCTAGCTCCAAGTCAGGCTCACGATTTTACCATCCGGAGTCTGTCGGTAAGGATAAACGGGTCAATTAGACATACAACTTTAACTCTCGTATTTGTTCGTTCAAATTGAGGAAATAATATCAAAGGATATCAGATAAGCGAACTTGGACGTCTCAAGGTGTAATCAATAAATTATCACATAGTCTACAATGTACAGTTGTAAATATGTGTACATGATAGATGATGTCAGAGATGCGACAGAGTTGGTTAGCTAAATCTTTTCACATGTAATACTAACTCAGTTATATGAGAATCAAGTCCCAGTTTTCTTCACTACAATAAGAATTATTGACTTTTATTTTCCTCACCCTCAGACGAGTGGTAGTGAGGAACGGTCTTCTCGATCGCCGGCGTCTTCAGATTCATCTGCCGGAATCGTCGTTGGCTCCCTCGGACATCAGCTCGGTTCATCGGCAGCGCGAAATTCGAAGAACTTCTCTATTGACGCAATCCTCCAGGTTCAACAACAGCAGGAAAAACAGCAACAAAAACAGCCGCTTCCGCAATCGGCCCGGCGACAGCAACCTGGAACAGCGGCGGCGGCGGCGGCGGCGGCGGCAGCAGTGGGCGATGCCAAAAGCGGGTCTACCACGCAAGGTAAGCAACAAAAAGCTATGAGAACATGGACATTGCGGATGTCTAGTTGTAGGGCATCTAGTGAACGTAGAACCTATTTAGGGATAACGCAAAAGAACGGTGTGGAACAACGACATGATAAATAGATATTGCATCACAGACATTTGTGCGTCGTCACAACTTCGCACTTATCATAAGAGAATAACGACACTAGCTTTATCGCTTCGGCTTTCGGTAGTGAAGTTGTATAAGCTTTCAGTCTAATAATTTCCTTTGTATCCATAAACAGGTTCGAGTTTTTCCGATCCGACTCGCTTTAACTTGGATCTTCACTCCCGTCTCGCAGTTCACTGGCTGGGCCTGTGGAATTCACATTTTCTTCGGCAGTCTAGCTCAACGGCATTAGCTACCGCCGCTGCTTCGATTGCGCCTCAGATGACGTTGCCCTCCGGGTCGCCGCCGCCGTTGGCGATACGTCCGGCATCCCCTGCCGACTCCGACGACAACGAGGTGACAATAGCCGTCGATGAAGCCGACGACCTGGAGCTCCAGGACTCTCCGGAAGAAGCCACACGAACAAGGGAGTGGCAGGAAGCCCAGCCAGATAGCACCCAAAAAGAAGATGAAGAAGTCGACGTATGTGAAATCGACAATTAGTGGTTAATTACGAACGATGGCGCTAAGCACTAGCTACTTGGTATGAGAGAAAGCAGAAATAAAATAATGTTGGACGATTTGGCGGCCGTATGCGAACAGCAGAAGTAACCGGGACGCACCATTTAGAGCAACGTGTGTAGGATCTAAGAGTAATCAGTAAAGCATTGTAGTTAAACAGTGAAAGGCCTGAGGAATTAGCACTTCAACATAATTCAATAGTAGGAAGTTTCGTACGGCCTGCCATGGAACGGGCTCACCAGTGATAATGATCTGAGACTTCTCCATGTTCTGATATGCGTTTGACATAGGCAGTTCTGCCAATTCAATTTGCTGGTTGTACATCCTTTCGGCTACCTGTGATTGAAGTCCAGTGACGGCCACGCGTCAACCCTAGACACGCAAATTGTTTTGTGACTAAAGAAAGTGTTATCTTCCATTCCTGATCTAGCGACAGGTTGTCAACCCTTGAAGCTCGAATAACCTGTCGTCATATGTAGGCGACGCTGTTGATATGACCAATACTAAATTGGGAGTATTTACTTGTTTTGCATAAGAGACAGTCCTCCTGTGAGCATGAGCAGTCTTCGGCGTTTCGTCTTTACGACTACAAGACGACGCAAAAGCAGAGAAATTTGTAAAGACAAACAACTCGCAAAAGCTTGCGGTCAGTGTATTGAATGCGGTAACTCCTATATAGTCGACTAAGGCGGGTACTGAACATTCTAGCTCATATAACAACCCTTATCACATATTGAGATAGACCTAAGTCAACAACACGTTATAGAGCAACATATATATATATATATATATATAGAGATGGTATGACTGTGTATTAGGACACAAACTATAATAACAGTAGCAAGTTACACAATGCGGTTGCGGTAGTGGTAGTAGGTAGAGGCCACCTCTGGAGGTTGTATACTACACCGAACAAACAGTTTTTCCAAATGTAACTTTATGGAAACTAATCTTTTTCATTAGAAATTAGCGAACAAGCAACATATTCGCATAGTAGCTCCCTTGTGGTTACGTACCTCACGGAAGAATAGAAATAAAAGAGATCCATAGGAACAAATGAGCGAACTAAGCGGTAACAATTACGGACACCATGATACCAGATAATATCTAGAGGCATTTTCAGAACCCTATAAAATTAAATTATTTATTAGTTTTCGTTAGAGTGCAATAGTAAGGAGGATTTTAAAAATCATACATCATTTAATATGGCTAGCCCTTCTATCTTCCCATAAGGGTTGCATACTAAACGACATAGCGATACCATACGACTCGCTCACTAGAAGCGAACTAGTCATTTTTACGCGTTTGCTTGACAGCTGTGTACTGAGTATTTTGCGTTATCTCAGCAAATAGACGATCAATAAATAAGTCAACCCACTGATCGTAGTATGTACTATTTATTTAATTAAAGGGTGGCAATTTTTTTAAATTGATTAGGCTGTCACGATGGCATTACGTTTTCTTCGCGGCACGCTGAATAATCGTCTTTTATAGCTGCTTTACATAGTTTATACAGATGACGCACGAACAGCCACCATGAGTATCGAATCAAATTTGCAAAAGTGCTTGACTAGGCCCGTAGAAGCGATTCGTCTACGAGTGTTTAGGGCGTCCCCCGACTAGACGTCTATCATTTTTTCCTTATTCGACTGTTTAGGAATGACCCTCGTTACTATCTATAGTGGCATAGATCGGACTGCAGATTTACGGAGTTACTGGTCAGTTGTAGCACTGAAATCGGACGAATAAATAAAATCTACATTTTTCAATACAACAGATACGCTAACGATCAATGTTGTTATAAAACTAATCGTGGATTAAATAGTCTGCTTTGGGTGCGTTGCAATCGAACTAGATAAATGTGTACCATAGCTATTTTAGCTGGACTAAGCGGATTCTATGAAGCGGTCTCTTCGTCTGTCGACTGAGGGCAACAACACAATTCGGAAAAGGTTTATAATTCACAGATAGGGAAACAAATATTACTTCTGTCCTTCTGCATGAAAACCGTTTATGAGATAGGGAGCAAAACGTGCAGTCTGTTGCCCCCCGACGCTGTTACGACGGTATCTCACTGCTAAATATAGTTGATATTTCTTAGTTATACTGGTTGAGAATTTATCCTGCAACGTGTACAGCCAAAGTACAGGGACAGCAATCGTCTTTAAAACGCGGCAGTAGCTAACCATCTTTATTAAGAAATCTAACCCGGGCTGGCTGGTTCTACTATCAAAAAAACTCAACGGTAGAGTTCCATCCGAGACACGCAAACAAATCTGGACAAGGTAATGTGAAGCTGGACCACCTAAGCACCAAAGGGTACCGGGTAGAACGTCCTGCCGACGAAGCGTGCTCAAGTTCACATAACTTAAATACTTTAGGTAGGCGTCAATTTTGGCCCGTAGATATTTTTCAATAGAAATGATTATCAGCAGAATCTTTTATATCACATTAATTAAAACAATCGGTTTACCATCATATTATTATCGCTTTTTGTAAGAATGCACCGGTGGATAGATATACAACTAATCATTCAGTGAGTGAGACTTCGTGGTAATAGGTGGGTTATTTCAGTTGAAAGTGTATCCGAGTCATTTGAAGACGTCCCGTGGGTACAGCGTGTTGAGAGTTAACCAGCATCCCCTCTATCAAATAAAAGTAAATTAATACACAATTTCTTAAATTTATAGAAAATAAAATTATTTTTATACAATCGATCGAGAAATTTGTTAGGCTAATAATAATAAATATTACCTAATCAAATGAATCGGAGATATCTAAGCCAAAGCTAACTACTCCGTAAGGCTTTAATGGCGTTAAAATACAGAGGGCTATAGAAGCTTCAACATACGATTGACTCGTTATACGAATAGTTGACACTACAAAGCGGACCCCAATTTTACTACGGGTAGAGGCGTCTTTTAAAAATCATGGACATATTTTGTAGGCCAAGTATGGGCGTGTTGACCGTTTTCTAATACCCACAGATAGGATCAAAGTGGGCTTTTTTTTTTTAAAGAAGATGACCTCGAAGACATCGTTGCTATAATAGAGCTAATCCAAGAACGAGCGGGACTCCATTGCATTGTGTGAAATCGCGCATTGGCAGACCGAGCTTAAATGTACGTAAAGCTAGATAAGTGGGTCTAATTATACAGGGTGTCCCAAAAATGCATTGTTTTTTGTTTTTCTTCTCAGGGTGTAATCGATCAGAAATATTTTAGCTTTTTAGCAAAGAAAATTAATCTTGAAACGCTATTGGTAATTTTTATAGCGGAAGTTCGAAAGAAATATCGTAGGAAGTTTCAGGTTGATCCACCTGCGCGACCTACAGCCAATAAAATAAGTAATAAAATTTTTCTAAATTAAAACTGTCCAGGATGTTCACAGTCAACGTGCTAGAGACCCAAGAAAGATTATAGGGAAGATAATAAAATCAAAGCAAATTCAGTGTCTATCGTAATTTAGAACGGTGCATGCTATCCATAAAAATTGACCCTATGAATGAACACGGTGTACAACTTATGAAAATCAATATTTTCAGAGATAAAGTTATAGATTCAATTAAACGTCACCAACAACCAACCAGTACAATTGCACTTAATGGCCTGTAAACCAACATGTTAGACAAAAATAGCCCCCTATTTCAAGCAGACTTGTGCCGACTACCTGATGTTAGTAGGAAAATTTGTTCTACCACATCTTCCAAAAATACTCTGGTCAGAATGGCAAATTTTGCCTGCAACGAGATAGAATATCTGTACGTATTCATTATGATATAAGAACATATCTGTTTTATTATTAGGTATTATTATATATAGGATTAAAACTTTCTAAACGCGTGGAGAAAGGTCCATAACATACCCTGCCTATTCTTAGGATCTGGGGGGGGGGGGTCAATAAATCCCGTTTTGCTTAGGTACCTTAAAGATGAAATCTGTGTTAGAAGGCCGGTGACATTGTAGGGTCTAGAAGCCGAAACGGAACGAGAATGAGCTGCAATACCGAATGAGACGACTGTTCAGGTTTGCGCCTATTGTGATTAGCAGCGTATTGATCAAGACGGTAATTATTTTCTAAATACCTATGGTAAGTAAAAGAGTTATACATTCGATGTTACTTGGCAATTTAATACTACTTATATTATATTTACATACTGCATTTAATACTACTTACTTATATTTACATATAATTAAATATATAAACATATAATTAATTATATGTAAATATAAGTTGAAGCTTTAGCCATTCAAAATGTGTGCTAGACCACTCTGTATTAGCTTAAAACGAGCACAGATGCTACATGCATTAGGTCCCGTCAAGGTTTCTATTTTCCTCTTTTTCAGTTCAACCCTCTTATGGCCTACAAGTCTGTCTTGTCTTTTTTTTACAATGACTATGCAACTCAGCTAACTAGAGACGAGACGTACATGAGACAAGCATGCCATCAACCACAACATACGACTGTCAGTGGTAAGTTGCCGTTAAAGTTATCTGCGAATGCTGCAACAGGTATATACAAGTCTTTTTATTTGGAAAAGTTTGCGAGTTATGTCCCTTTATTCATTGCCCTCAATTGTATAATTGAACAAGCGATCCACGATTACTACTATGTCACCGAAAGTGCTATTCAACCACTTTAAATGGCGTCTTTTACAGTTGGATCTATTGTATAAATAACCGAAATCGTTCTTTGATCGACTTCGTTGATCAACTATTATGGTTTCACATTAAACTGCCCCAAATAAAATATTTGATACCTCATCTGTTAGCACCGTGGGACAGTTGTTGAATGAGTGCGAAAAAAGCAGGTGATAAAAACAAGAATCTTCAAAAAGCACGGACAACATACGCCAGTGCACGTGAGCAAATGAGGCGTAATACTTTTTGCCTCCTGTTTTTTTGTCTGTGACGTTCGAGTCGACAAGCAGCATTTACGTGGCCCACTATAGTGGCCACCTGATCAGATTTAACGTGATCCAAAAGTAAAACCCTACAAGAATTTTCGTCTCTTAATTTCTGACTTCAGTCGCCGCCAACAACGAAAATAGCGTTCGTAGTACTTCGTGCGAACGCATTGTCTTCTTGGTGTTTGCACGCACAAATAGGCACATGCACATGCACATACACACGCACGTACACAGACGCACATATGGGGTGAATTCTTGTTGCGTTCGTTGTATAATATACAGAGTATTAGTCTTCACTGTTACTTCTGTAGGGTGGGAGTAAAAAGGGATTGCAGAATAATTGGGTAGCCCCTGCACACGTCAAGGATGCGCTATTTCGCCGCATCCGCAAAAACAGCTGTCTACCGTAAATCGTTTTCATTAAATTGATAGTACGAGTTCCATAGTACATTAGTTTGTGCATTTTACATTCTGCTACAGTGTGGCAGGACTGTGCATTTGGGGTTTGGGGTCGCCGTTTTCTTCGCTGTTTTGTTACGTTTTCCTACCATAATTACAATGTCGTTGTAATCGAAGAGAATGAACAAAGATAATTGCACCGGTAAAAGTCACAGGATTGTGTGAACAGACGGCACACGAAATGAATCAACCGGGTCACGGACCGCAATTGTTAGGCGATGATTGGCGAGGGATTTCAATGATCTAAATAAATGTTGTCGGATATCTGCATGCTCACATGGTCAGGACGGTTGGATAACAAACATTTTGTGCAGACGAATACTTTTGTTTGCCGCATTGCATCACGCTTGTGCTACATTCTGCTATACAAAGAAGCACAAGTCGGTGCATGTTAGGTGTCCGGGTTCACGTTTGATTTGCGCTTTAAATGATCCTCAACATGGGCAATTCGCGCGATTTGGTCGGATCTAAAAGCAGATTCTCTCACAAGTTTCCACGTTGAATTCCATTGGGTTCTAATGACTTAGAAAATCTTTGTCGAAAATTCCTATAGCTTGTAGCTTAATGGTTCGCATCTGCGCGTCATGATCTAATGTACCAGTCACTGAAAGCTCGAGAAGCAAAAGGCTTAAAATAGAACTTCTTCTTCTAGAATCACAGTTACCTAATTAGAGATAAAAACAAATATATATATATATATATATATATATATATATATATATATATATATATATACACTTAACTTATGGGTATTACGTACGTGATATTTGGTAAATCGCCAACTTATCGATATCGAACACGGACCTAACTTCCTCGCAGCAGCCTTCACAAAAACTTTTTAAAAATAACTCGGTCTTACAGTCAAAAAATAGAGAGGATAACTTTTTAGAACGGTACTATCTGTTAAAAGAGGGCGGGAGGGTAATCCGCAATGGCGACTCCACAATAGCCGTGTATGCGACGTACGCCCACGATCTCACTGACTTTTTTTTTCTACTGTAAGTGGTTATAGTATAACATAGAATAGAATTCAACCCTTTAGCCGTTTCTGGCTGATCCCCTATAATACCGCCTATATTATCCAACTTACTATAGACAACTCAGCAATAATAGGCGCGCAATAAAGCAAACGTTTTACGTAGAATTGGCCTTGAAAGTGCAAGAGGAAATGATCGTATTTTTAGAAAAGGCATTAATAAATGCATCACAATAGAATTGGACAGCACTACCCTATACAGGCGTACGACAGCTGCAACGATAGTTAGAGCAATAATCACGGCAAGAACCGTCGCCATTGTTTAAACATGCGCGTGGACTCATCATCGGGTGTGTAGCTTACGCGATGCGGTAGAACTAAATAAAGGAACAATACTATCGCCGCCATTTTCCTGCCAGAAAAAAACACCCTTATATTTGACCACGTCAGAATAAAACACCTGGATTACCTTGAATACAAC